AAAGACAAACGCGAATATACCGATTGATTACAGATGAAAAATTTAGATTTGTTCGGAGTTAATCCAAAATGACTAACAATAAGCGTTTGATTAAAAAGTATTTCTAAAGAAATAAGAAGAGTAGAGAAGAGTTACTTTTCTTCTGATCGTATCAATGATCTGTGACGAAAAACCAATATTTATGTTTGCGTATTGGAGAAAATTATTCAATGCAAAAATTATAGGTGCTTCAACCATTCTTGACATAGCGTGGGCGATTTGTATTTGGAAAAGCCGACGAGATGCTTTATCAATGCTTCCGACCCTGCACTTTTATGTGCAGGTGCTTAATTGTGTGCTTTATGTTTTCTTGTTATTAGATTTTAAACATAGGCCTTTGGCTAATTGTAAAAATCTGAATTTTTTTCGTTCCAATTTGTATTTACTTTTATAATCTCGCCCCAAAAAAAAAAAAAAAAAAAAAAAAAAAAAAAATAAGAGTTGTACTTGGAAGTGCAATTAAGTATCATACTTACGATAAACGGTTGTTCACATAGCTCCAAAATACATTTAAGGCGCGCAAATCTACGATGCATGTAGAAGATTAACAGCAACGTCGCAATGTTCCGTTAGAAAAAATTTTAAAATTCTATTGATCTTTCAGCACATCTTTAAGCCAACTTTGGTCGTCAACTTACGCGGTAGATTTGCACGCTTTAAGTACCTCATCTTTGAATTTATCAGAGGGAACACTCCTAAAACTTGAATTTTTGAACTTCGTTGTAAAGAGAATACATACAAAGCGCCTTCAAAATTTCGTTTATGCCACACAGACATCGGTTCAGCATTGGTAACCGAGTGAGCATTGTTCCTGTGAATCTATCATAATTCAGTGCATATACTTGATGATGCTGTATTCTCACGGAGCTTATCGACGGTGTAAGTCGGCAACCACATAACTCGGTTTGCGGCGTCGCAGACTTCCTATCATACTTTTTTTTTCAACGGAAAACTACTCAACGGCAATTTTTTAAAACTGCCGTGGTTTTTCTTCTCTGCGCGTAGAAAATTCTGCAAAAACTTGAAGGAATGATGTCAATTTGTGCTCTATTAAAAAAATAACTTAGAGGCGGAGATTTTCAAACATTGCAAACGAGTTATGTGATTGCCGACTTACGCCGTCGTTTTGTGACTTTAAGCTATTTAATTTTAAGGCATCGACTTTAAGTTTAATACCTTGTAATGCATGTAGAAAGGTACGAAACACTGTTTGAAACTTTATATTGCTATCTATTTGAATAAAATTGTGTGTAAATAAATGTGTTTTTTTCCGAAAAGAAAGAAAAAAAGAAGATTAAAATTGTATGTAAAAGTGCTCGTTGGTGATAGATAGAACTATGAAAACAGAAATTCAAATAGAATTGTGAAAACAGAATTTCAAAAAATTAATGGGGAAAAACGATTCTACGAAATAAAAGAAATTCAAAGTCAAAATTTTGTTATTTTATTAGAGTTGTTTAATCCCTCTCTAAATCCGTTTGTCGAGATACTTTTCAATGTCCTCTCACATATTACACAAACCTCCGAGGAAACAATATTTGCCAAATATTATTTGTCTCAGGAATTCATTTATGTATGAAACCATATATACTATGTATAAGCAACGGATGTCAAGTTTTGAAGCTTTGAGAAAATCGCGTTCAAAGTTTTTTAAGCTGTGCATTTTGATGTTCGTGCAGCAAATAGGGTATGGTCAAGGAATATATTATAGAGCAAATCCTCATCTAAAAAATTAACTTAGGACTTTAAATTTGAAGAAAAATATACATTGATTTTAAAAAAGAACACATCCCGCATTTTTTCAAAAGAATAAGTGATTTTTCGCACTCTTTATGGGGCAACTGGCCCTCGCCCAAGACATCAATTCCATTTTTTTTGTTTTTTGTAAGGTAACATCACTATACTAATTGTGAGCTATATACTTGTTTGAAATTGGGAAGAAATCTCATAATCGGATCGCATTTAGGAAAAAGGAACCTGAGTGATTACAGTGTTGTGAAAATGTTGTTTCTTTATAATTATCTAAAACATCTTCAAGAACAGCAAATAGTTTTTTTTCTTCTCACCAAAAAATGTTTACCTAATTTTGAAGAATAGTAATCGTGTTTTGAATACTGTACATATATTATATATTAATTATTTTTAAAAGAAAAGAAGTTTCACATTTTTTAAAACACTGTAATCGCGCTGATTCTCTTTTGCTAAATGCGAATCAATTCTAACTTCAACGAGAAACATAGCCGTCTACGACATGAATAAAATCTTGAACGGCCAACTTTTTAAACATGGGCGAAACTGTAGGTATTAATGATAGCCATCCATGCGGATTCAGAAACAAGTTGTGATTTTGTATAGATGTATTTTTCGGGGATATTGGTACATCAGCGAAAGGAACGATCCAAATTGAGCAGTGTCAAGGGAAGAGGAGAAATAAATAAAAGCCATTCATGAGAGCCAACATTTTTGAGTATGAAGAAAACGATCGTACAACTCATTGTCAGTTCAAATATCTCAAGCAAGAACATTTAAGTTACAACAAAATTGTCCACTCGAATTCTGAAACACTGTCTTGGACATTTCCGCATACGTCGATTCAATTGTGCTGAACACTTATACCAAGTGGATTGCCAATCACTCCAATGAAAAAGAAAAAAAAAAAGAAAGAAAAAATGAAGCTAATGATAGGAAAAAAGGCATAGCTCATAAAAACAGGAAAAGTCTATGATATTACGTTAAAAACTTATTTTAAAAACTTGCAGCTTCCTCTGGATATATCCACTGATTTTCATGCACAATTTAGATACCTACTTTGTCTTTGTTTATGCATGACCTATTTTTTCATACCCCTGATTTCTACGCAATTTTTATAAATGCATGTATTTCGGTGCAGCTCAGAAAGGTATGCAGGTTGATGTCATCGCCGAAAAAGCGTGGAAATAAAAAAAAAAAATGTCTAAATGTACATTTTTCGTTATGATAATATATATTTTTCCGGCAAAAATAGCAAGCTTCTTACAGATTGAATTGCGTGGCAAAGATGGTGTTTCTTCCTACCATGAAAATGAATTGATTTTTGCCATGCACAGTATTGCATCGTTTTTATGAATGTTACATGGAAATGTACCGCATTTCTCATGGAAATCTACTAATTTTCACGGGGCTTCAACGTAAACCTACCAATTGGACTATATTCAGCAAGAAGGAAGCAGCGCGATTACAATGCTTTCAAAATTGCGCAACGTCTCCTCTTTAAAAAATACTTAGGACATGTGCGAAATTAAAATTTACACTATTATTTTCCTTTAAAATTTAAAATTTGTTGGTGGGAAGCAAAAACTATTTGCTATTCTGAGAGATTTTTTAGATACTCATGAATAAGAAACATTTTTACATGCAACACTGTGATCGCGCTGGTTTGCTAAATGTGCTCCGATTATCATCCGTTTTTAGTTAAACCAGTCATTTTCATACAAAATATATCATGGCACATTTTTACCAATTGGACTGAATTTTGCAATTTGGACCTATAAATTCTGGCTCATCTGAAAAAACACTTATGTGCATAGGGAAACTAATGGTACGTACGTTGTTTTTAAACCGGGCCGGAATTTATAGGTCCAAATTGCAAAATGCAGTCCAATTGGTCATGTGAATTTTTTAATGCACTTAAACTAATAAGATTTTTGATTTACCAATAGACTCATTTATACCATGAAACAAATCTTTGTGGTCACCACGCTATTTGCGTATGGTTTGTAATAGCGAATGAGGTCTGATCGAGCCTGTTGCGTGACTGGGGCCCATTTTCTTGTTTCTCCACTCCACTTTCCTGCTTTGTGAAGAGGGACGCGGGATAACTGCCTTGACCAATGGCACCGACTGTCCCTTTCGTGGCAAAATATCCCATAAAAATGTTTTGACCTCTTTCCCTGCTACCCTCTATTTTTTGTTTGTTTATTTCCTCCATGCGCCCGTTGCGAGAGTGCCTCCTAACCTCCTCTTACTTTTTCGCCGTTGTATTGCACAACTTAGTCTTCCGTCGCATTTATCCACGTCCCGAGTCCAAATCACCTGCTCTTTTTTATGAAACGTTGCCCGTTTTCAGTTTATGACCTCATTGAAATGAAGATGAAATTTACTATACTATCAACTCAGGATCTGAAGTAAAAATCGTCATTTTCCTCAAGAGAGAAGGTAACAACATTTCAATGTTGTCGAATTTCCCCCGCAAATTGCATTGTTACCGGAAGAATCGTGGGTTTTTCCGACGGAAAGGTTTCCCTGATTTTTCTTCTGATCGCATGCAAAAATCACTATTCTCAAAAAAAATTGAACACGTATATTTTTGTGAAAAATTGAATCGTTCGAGTCAATTTTGCAACCATGGAATGAAATTATGTTCCTTCGTTCGGGAAAAGACGATTTGTGACAAGGAGAGCCCTCTCGAATTTTTTTACTCTCGAATTTTTTTGGTACACTTCTCCAGGTCGAGTTAGATTGGGGGCCTTAAAGCTGAAAAATTTAAAACTGCATGAGCATATCCACTGCTTAGGATAGCATTTCACACGTATGCTCAAATATCAGCCGACACTTAGTGGCTCGAGTCATCGATAGAGGTTGGACATAATTTTTTCACCATAAGTAACTGCAAATTTTTACGCTATATTCGTCGAATTTTTAATTTCAAGGGATGCTCCTTGGAGAAAACGTTACGAGAAAACCAATGGATGAAATTTTGTAATAACGGAGTTGTAAACCCTCAAAGTGTCTAAATTTTGTGAGTCCGACTTCTCCCATTGACTCGTTCCATTGCGTGCGGCGATTCGTAACTTTAAGAACAATGATTCATGAAATTGATACAAATTATTAATGATAGCAGCCGCCGGCAATACTTTTTTTTACACAAGAGATTATGGATCACCATTTCAGATCGAAGAAAAAGTCATCGTGAAAAAATGATACTACTGAGTTCAAAACATTACTTTATTGTTTTGTATACGATTGCAAAAATCAAACTTAGAATACAAATGAGGCTGACAGGCAAAATGGGTTTTCGGTTATGCAGATCGTCCTCCGAAATCGCCACTTTAGTTTGTTGAATTCTTCCTGAAAGGAAACAAAGATCAATCTGTTTCAAAGACGACCATCAAACACATGCGTGATCAAACACTCAAGCACGAGAGTCGTCCAAAAAGTAAGTTACCTACTGCATATCATGCATATCACAATTCTCAGAGCCCTTTTCCGTAATTTTTAGGACCAAATCATAAGAAAAAAATGTGTTTCTCGATTTTGTTTACAATTTGGTTCTCACAGTGGAACATATAGCTCTGAAAGCCACTGTCCCGTTGATGTAAGTCTCCACTTTAGTTTTCCTTCTATTTCAATTTTCAACTATTTGAAACCCTATTTGCCGAGAAACAGGAAAGTTTCCCATGGAGAGGAATAATTGCATGCGAGTGAACATAAGTGCTCTGCTTGTTCTCGGTCACAGAGCGCACTGGCACTTTTTGTGTGAGCGTAGAGTTGTAGAGTGTTGAACTGGATGCGGTTTCGAATTTTCAAAGCTAGTATGAAATGGATTGCATTTTGCAAGAAGGAACCACTAGCATTGCAATGATGCTAAGATTGTGCAACTCCATCCTTTGCAATAAAATTGCGGAAATTGCGAAAAACTATGGGATTTAGATATTAATTTTGGTCTAAAATTAACAGTTTTTGGCGAGTAAAATAGAAACTATTAAGGGATAATCGGGTTTTTCCTCCAAGACAAAAGAAGTTGCACAATCTTAGCAACATTGCAATGCTAGTGGTTCCTTTTTGCAAAATGCAATCCAAATAATCCCACACCTCACACAGTGGCGTGGCGTGTTTTGCGATATATCGATTGTTCTGCCATTTAACCCTATAGAAAAGGATCGATAAACAGGGTGTTCGCAGCGAACACCTTAATAATCGATTCTTTACTATGGGTTTAAAAGGCAGAACAATCGATACATCGCAATTCACGCCACGTCACTGATCTCACAACAATTTGAAATTCAAAGACACACGGGAGTTGGTTTGCGAGGAGGTGAATGAATCAAGTTTCTATAGCTTTTAATTTAAAAAACACCCGCCTTGGGGTCTTTTCGCCCTATCTGCTAGCTAAAAATTTCCAATGAAAGTATGAAATGACACCAATAGATATGATTTTGCCGCGTCATTACTGAAGTTTTCGTCTTTTGAAGGAGGTGAAATGGACTGCATTTTGCAATTTGGAACTATAATTTCTAGATCTTCTGGAAAAAACACTTATGTGCATAGGGAAAATAATGGCACATATCGACGGTGAAACTACCAAACCACGTATCTCGGTTTGCGACGTCGCAGACTTCCTGTCATACTTTGTTTTTTAAATGAAAAACTACTTAACGTCCAGTCTTGAAAATTTCTGTGATTTTTCCTCTTTAAGCGGAGAAAATTCCGTGAAAATTTCAAGGAATGATATTAATTTGGTCTACTTCAAAAAAATAAAATGTGAGCGTAGATTTTTAAACACCGCAAACGAGATACGTGGTTTGGTAGTTTCACCGTCGATATGTTGTTTTTAAACCGGACTAGAATTTATAGTTCCAAATTGCAAAATGTAGTCCAAATGATCAGTGATTGTATGGAAATTGCATATACATCCATTTGAAGGCGGATCGTAACTCACTAAATCATAAAACGCGGATCTCAACTCAACCTGAGTCTGCATGAGTGCGTGGTGAAATCGGAATGAACACTTAACTCGTATTCTGCCGTGCTGAACGCCGTATGAGCATTCGAGAGTTGCCAAATTTCCCTTGATAACATGAATTTTTGACGACATTTACGCACATTTTTCTTTGAAATCTTTGAAATCTTCAGATATTTTAAATTAAATTGTGTACAAAATAGTCTGAAAATCTTGGAAGCAAATATGCACAATGGACCACTAGACAAGGTACGAATGTCAGCATTCTGGTACGTGTTTCATAACTAAAATTTCATGGAGAACACGATGCGTACAACAAAAATTACCGCAATAAACTCCTTACGAAGATATTGAATGATTCTTGATGCGTGAATTCAAACTACCCGCTCATGAAAACTCAATGCTCTACGTGATTCACGTCGTCCCCTAAACGTTATCATGACAGTCTCTGCGATATAAACATCGGGAATCCTCAATCTTGACGCTTTGGCTCAGCTGTAGCAAATTGCTTATAGTTTGAACAACACATGGTGGGAAATGAACATTACTCGATTGAGAAGCTTGTTGTAGTGCGCGATTTGACTCACGTAGAGCTTTGAGTTTCTTGTCAGCGGGCAGTTCAAATTCCTCGTAACCAATGTGAAATAAAAACATTAATATCTTCGTTTGGAGTTTGTTTCATTAGTTTTCGTTGCGCGAATCGTGCGTTACGTGAAACTCTGGTTAAGAAACAAGTATCAGAATGCTTAAATTCGTACCTTGTCTAGTGTGGTCCATTTTCTCAGTAAATGCGGTTTTTATCGAAGGAAACTTGGCAACGTCTGAAGGCTCATACGGCGTTCTTCCTTAGCACGGCTGTATGGAAGTTAGTTTTACACTAATACTATTAACTGCAGCGTCGAAAATGTTCCGAGAGGTAATTAATCCACACAAACATATACCTTTCCGACATTTCGTGGTGAGTTTACCTATTAATTAATGTGCATGTGCTGCGCTACACTTACCAGGAGGAACTTCAATTTTGATGAAGATACTTGAATTCTTGTTTGCTGTTTTTTCAGGAGTGTTACGCCTTGAACGCACCAGTTTATTTTGCCACAATGATCCTGAGTTCAAGCAGTTCTAAAAGACATTTTTTAAAAAAATTAAAAAGGTCCTTTGAAAATAAGTTTTTCGTTGAAAATAGGAAAATCATTTAATTTCTCAAGCCAAATGCTTCTCGGTCAAGTGAGTGCGAGTAAATGTGTCTCTATTTGATTCGCCATCAATCGTAAGAATAATACGGCTGCTTAAGAGATAAGAGGAATGACTGCGGAAAAAGTAAGATGAAAAAAATTATAAAAAAAACTTGATCCATTCAAAAAATAAATTCCGCCCAAAATTCTCCTGTAAAAAGTTAAATTTGGCAAAAGCCGACGTGATTAGGTTCCATCCTGCTGAACGCGGTTCAATCAGCTTTTGATGTGCAACAAAAAGCTGTTTGACTCAACATATTTTGAGTGATGTCTCACCGGGTTGCAGTCGTGATATTCAACACAAGCCGTTGTCCGAAGCGTGATTTGCAGCTCCTCACCGTCAAGCATGGAATCCATCATGAATACTCGCAAGATTAGCGTCGTCACCAATGGATCGTCCTTGTCTTGTTCCGGGTCCAAAGGGCAGATATCCTGAAATTTGAAATGAGCGCACATCCTGTAAAACCCTCTGGCATTTTGAGAAATAAAATGGTGTAACACGTGCTTGAACACGTGATATCCTGGCAGACCCTATCTCATTTGGGGCCATATTTTAGTTTTCTCATATTTCGGTGCCTTGTAAAGTTTTCATTCCCTATACTGGTCTTGTACATGAATATATTACGACGGTGAAAGTCGGCAATCACATAACTCGTTTGCGGTGTCTGAAAATCTCCGCCTCTACGTCATTTTTTTAAAGGATAGCAAATTGACATTATTTCTTGAAGTTTTTGCAGAATTTTCTTCGCATTGAGAAGAAAAATCATGACAGTTTTAAAGAATTGCCGTTGAGTAGTTTTCCATTTAAAAAATAAAGTATGACAGGAAGTCTGCGACGTCGCAAACCGAGTTATGTGATTGCCGACTTGCACCGTCGATTAGATTTATATTAAAACTGAACGGTCTTTTTTACTATACTCAAAACTATTCGTATGCCTCCGTGCTAAGGAAGAACGCCGTATGAGCCTTTAGGCGTTGCCAAATTTCCTAAGATAAAACACGAATTTCCCGGTAAACTTATGAATATTTTTTTTCCAGCTTTTCAGATGATGTTGTTAGCTATTTCACCTTGAGTCCCTGAAAATTTCAAAGAAAAATATCCGTAAATTTCCATGAACATTTTATTGAAGGAAATTTGGCAACTCTCGAATGTTCATACGGCGTTCTTCCGTAGCACGGCAGTATATCTAAGGACGTACGCACGTTTAAATTTGGGTTTCGGCATCCGTCGGTGTCCACGATTACGACTGTGTCATCTGAGTCATCGTCTATACTCTGTGTAGCCGTGTTCACTTTTGATACGCGTTGAGCAACTACGTCACTCATCCGAGAGAACTGCCAATCTATAATCAAAATACAAAATCATACGAGAAAAATAAATGACAAATTAAAAGTATTATTGTTAAATACCTCCTAACAAAACTGCCATTGACCTATAAGACTTTAAGATCTGCACTCTCAAAGAGGTTTCGTAAAACAAGAGAAACAGTTTCTTGACCTAAAATTATTATATTCACTTATCATTGTACCATCTTGAGGTTTCATTTGCTCTTCACGAATGCTTCTCTTCCTTACAACTTGATCTCCGCTGTAGTTTGACTTTTCACAATTTAATCGATAGTACGTCTTAGATCCAAAGGCATATCAGATCAGACTATATGTTAACCATATTTAAAACAGCTACAGTGTGGATGCTTTTTTATTCAGAAAGACATCGTGAGATTATCGTTTTTAATTTTATTTATTTATCGATTTTGTTTAATTATTTGCACTACGCATGGGCAAAGCTTAATCTTCTCGCGACTTTTTTTTCGTCACAGAATCTAAATTCCCACAACGACACACCAGAACATACTTTCGATATTTTGGTGAGGGATCCTGTAAATCACTCATCAATGGCCGAAGTGCAAAACCGCATATTTCCATTTTGGTGTTTTAAAACTTCTGCTCCTGCTCCATTTTTTCGAAGAGAATCGAGCCAAATTAATGGCTTGAATTTTTCACAGAATACTCTGCCAATAGAGCAGAAAAATGAAGGAAGTTTTATTTATATTACGTTATTGAGTTTTCTAAAGACTGAACAAAGTATGATAGGAAGTCTACAACGTTGTAAACAGAGAAACGTGGTTTCGCACTGTAGCCGTCGTCATGGTGAATGTGCGAATTGTGAGATGGGGAAATTGAAGGCTCATTCGTACAGTTACTGGCAAATGGATTGCATTTTGCAAAAAGGAACCACCAGCATTGCAATGTTGCTAAGATTGTGCAACTTATTTTGTCTTGGAGGAAAAACCCGATTATCCATAAATAGTTTCTATTTTACTCGCTAAAAACTATAAATTTAAGACAAAAATTACCATCTAAATTTCATAGTTTTTCACGATTTCCGCAATTTTATTGCAAAAGATGAAGTTGCACAATCTTAGCATCATTGCAATGCTAGTGGTTCCTTTTTGCAAAATGCAATCCAAACATTCCTGGTATAACCTTACCATCATCATTTTTTGAACGCACTGATGTTTTAATCATTAACTCCTCTCCCAACATGAGAGTTTCCCCCGGGCGCATCAGCCTATTGAACTGACTACCTTGTTTCCGCAGTAAGAATATATCGCTCTCCATTTTCGGCTCCGTGTCGCCCCCTCGGGCTAGAATAGATGCAGAACGGAACTCGCCTTTCCTGGAATTAAACAAAGTATGTTCTTGAAGTTAACTGGTACCTACATATTTGTATTACGTATTTTTAGAATTATTGAATTTAAATCGAACGATTCCAAGGATTAGCGTGAACATACGACGTTTTCTATTCCAACGAGGTCCGCTAAAGTCCGTTCTATTCTTCCGTGTTAAGAAAAATGTCGTATAAACCTCCAGGCAAAGTCAAATTGTCTTTGATAAAACAAGAATTTCCTGATAAACATATCGACGGTGAAAGTCGGCAATCACATAACTCGGTTTGCGACGTCGCAGACTTCCTGTCATACTTTATTTTTTAAACGGAAAACTACTCAACGGTAATTCTTTAAAACTGCCGTGATTTTTCTTCTATGTGCGAGGAAAATTCTGCAAAAACTTCAAGGAATCATGTCCATTTGTTCTCCTTTAAAAAAATAACATAGTTGCGGAGATTTTCAGACACCGCAAACGAGTTATGTGATTGCCGACTTGCACCATCGATATGAATATTTTTCCTCCGAATTTTTAATGTTTATTATGTTCGCAGGTGAGCCTAAAGTCTTTAAACCCGTCTATATCACCCCCCCCCCCCCCTCTGTAACGCTGCCAAACGCTGGCAAAGACGCCCATCCCCACCCTCTCCTTGGAGCGTTACGCAATTGGACGTATTTCTATCAAACGGAACTATGTGCATTAAGACATGAGCTCTGAGACCCATAAGAATACATGCATAACAAGGCTCACGTCACAATACACATAGTTCCGTTTGATAGAAATACGTCCAATTCAAGGACAGCCCCATAGCAACATCGTTTTCTTGGATGGCCCTCCTGGCAAAACGATCGAACTCGAACCACACTCTCGGCAAGGGGAATCTAGAACCTCTCCCTATTTGATAGAAGGTGCAGGGGCCTCCCCCCCCCCCAAATATATCGAAAATTGACTGCATTTTAGATGCATTTCAAGGCAACCCCGATGCAAATCTTAAGGTGATTCGATGGACGCCATATTTTGTGTCAAAACGGCATGCGACACATCGCATCAATTGGTTCCATTTTTTCAGCTACTCGTCATTATTCTACAATTTTGAGATCGCAATTCTCTTGTCAGGAGACTAAAACACTCAGGCTCAGACTGGCCATAAGGCCAATCTGCCATTGGCATATACGCCCCCTTGGCGCGCCAAAAACGCACCCCTCTGACAGATAGCAAAATAAGAAGAGAAAAAAAATTACGACCGAGGATATATGAAAAATTTCATAAATGAATGGAAGAAGAGAGAGTTAGGAGTGAAGTGAGGTGCTTTTACGCATAGTGGTGAACAGAGGTCCAATAACTACTTGCTGAAGCGTAAACACTTTTCTGTGAAATTGTCACCTTTTTGTTGACATGCAGACGCTTTATCATCCCCCTCCTTCATTCTCTATGTGTAACTCCCGTGGAAACGATAGCCGGTTCGATTTTTAGACATACCCACACTTTATAGACCTCATGAGAGACCTTTAAACATATTTCTTCCTTTTCAAAATGACTATTGATTTGGACATATCATAGCATATCTCGGGCAAACTTAACCTTAATTTATTTCAAAATTTAAAAGTAAGAGACATCTAAAGTGTAAACGCGATACAACTATTCTCGCAAGATGGATGTCCACATTGCATATGAAAAATGTGAGACGCGATGGCGTGAGTCGTGAACTCGCAATGCTCTGCTCTAGTTTAAAGCATAATTACGAATAAGACAAACGGAAACAAACACATGGAATTAGAGCGAGGGAAAGGATGCGCGTTAACGACGGCGCAGAGATACAACTATTCGTACTTGATGGACGTCCGTGCTGCATCTGAAAAATTGAAGGCGCGATGACGCGAAGCGTAAGTTCTCAATGCTCTGCTATATGCTGCCAATGAGGTGTCGCTCAGATTCGAGAGAAAAGTTAAAAAAGAGGCTCGAACACATCTCTCCTACCTTCGGCTGTGTTATACACGTTGTGCTGGAAGCACCATTACGAATAAGACAAACGCAAACAAACACAATATGGAAATAAAGCGAGGGAAAGGATGCGCATTAACGACGGCGCAGAGATACAAATGATTTTTGTTTTTTTAGCCGACACTTTCATGTTGAATGTCTTTGCAGTCAGGTTGAAGGAATAGAGCATTCTTTGCAGATCATCCTCGGAGCTTGCTACTAAAACAGCATCGTCTGCATAACAGATTATAAGACACAAAATATGGTATCCATCGAATTACCTTAATTGAAAACTTTGTGGATATTGCGATTTCATAAAAATGTTCCCATCTCCTTTTACCGTTTCGCATTGCGTAGAAAGGAAATCAGGGTTATATTGGAGGTGCACTTTTTTGGAGGGAGGGAATGATACGACGGCCAGACCCCCAACCTCTTAATACGACTCCCATACTTTGTTTTGAAAAACACATTTGATAACAATCAAACTCCCTAGAACGTCCCGAAATCAGTACCAACGGAATCAGTATACTATTAACCTCAGATTTGCCAATCGTTTGAGTGGCGAGAAAATAACCGGAGCTAGCGCTTTTTTTTCACGTAGTCTATATATTCTACGTCATAACATCATTATTTCGTACAACTCGAGGGCGAGGCTGTTCAAAATCGGTCTAATGTGTAGCATCGCGGGCTAAAACAATGGCGACGAGGCGCTTGTCCAAATAAACACACCATTATTTAGTGGATAACTGGATTCCGACCGCCGCGCCGCGACGCGCTACGACGCCAAATAGTGTCGAACATGGGCGTCCTCCCGTTTACTCCTCCGTGGACGGGGCGATTTTCAGTGCCGCCAGATCCGAGGATGCCACATTTCACCGGAATATCACCATTCGGCACTTGGGTTCATACGGGAAAACTGAAAAGTTGGCATCACTGGTCTGGCGTCGACGGTTCTCGCCGTGAATTGCGCACCGGTACCGTTCGCCCGATTTTCCGGATGACGGTGAATTCAAACCCTCCCCCCCCCCCCCCCCCCCCCCCCNCCCCATTCGCACTGCACATTTAAACTATCTCCTCCCACGCAGGTTTGCGACGTTTGTCAGCCCTTTTGGACTCTTGCCACCTGTTATGCGAAAGTGAGATGGACAGAAATCCAAAGAACCCTAATTCCTGTTTCACTTCATACGCAACAATTTATGATTTTTAGGATTTTTCCGATCATTGCGGTTTTTTGAAAAACCTTGAAATTTTGCTATCTCCGTCATTATTTCTGTAATTTATGATGAAATCACGATTTATTCTGGATCAATCCTGAGCTCTTTTTGAAGAAAAGGAGGAGGAGTTTTTCTGAAGATATGGGAATTTTTAAAAATTTTGAATTTGCTGTTGCTTTAAAACTTCTCGTCAGTTTTTAAAGTTTACCTTTGAATAATCAAAAATTTTTGGATCAATTCTAGAACCGTCTCGATAAGTATAGAAAAATGGGCGTTTCTTCAAAATTTGTAAATATTGAACCATTTTATTCCGGATAAGATGGTTTTACGGATAAGTAGGGTGTTACAATTATACAATATTACATGCATACATCAGTCTCTGAGCAACACGTCGCTGTCAGCTGTCTCTATTTTGTATTCGGTTACGCTAGACCTACATGCATGTTATCCAGTGACCTTATATGGCCCTTGTGTGACATCCCAAATCTTTATATTATTTGCCACCTTAAGGCTCAAATTTTAAATTTGTTTTTTGTAATTCATCTTTAATGTCCTGGTAATGATTTAAGCCACGACAGCTGAATATCGTTAAATACAGATAATCTTATCTAAATACAAACATTGACGTTATTCGTCAGAACTGAAGGCAGATCAAAGTTGCCCACCTGTCCTCTTCAACGGGGATGGAGAAACGGCCAAGTTGATGGGCTTTTGGTCGGTGCGCCTGACATTCAATTTTTAAGAGAGAATCATCAGCCATCAGAAGCCCTTTGACATTTTGGAACCTTAGTTGGAGGCAGAACACCTGTAAACAGAAACGAATGAATCTTTAATTTGTGTAGTTCGGTCCTGAACAATCATTTGCATGGCAGTTGGGAAGTATTCGTCATCTTAATTTTTAATCAGCATGGGCATTGATGTGTAAGTTGAACAGTAATTATATTTACTTCATTTGCACATAGTTCCTTTTAACATGAATGTGTTTAAAAATTATCGATCATATTTGTTCACATAACTTGGTGCGTTTCATAAGTGCTCTGGCTTTTTCTTAATACTGAAATATCGCAATGAAAAGTATGTTTTTTTTCAACTGTATCATCAATTTTTGAGTGGATAAATATGAATCTCATACGCCGTCACTTCTTAAACGCAAATAAATTAGACGTCATATGGTGTAAAACTTGAATTGAACCTATACCTCAATTTCAAATGATTGAATATCAACTCAAACCTCACTTCCAGACTGGAAATTGCACTGTCGAACCCCACAAAGTAGAAAATCTGGCCCTCTCAGATCTAGGAGGTATTCTCTTTCACCCAGGCTCTGGATTTTGCATTTCTTTTTTGAGCCCTCCAACAAAGGTGCAAATAGTAACTTTCGGGTTGTTCGTAGATGAGCAGTGAATTTAGCATATGTATTCGACTTGAAACAACTGATATCTGAAACAAAGTTTATTGAACGCACTCAAACACCGGACAATACGTTCATATTCATCATTAAAATTCGTAAATCGCAATTTAGAATACACGATTGGAAATTTCGAGTTTTTTGTTACTTTGGGTCAACTTTTTTACAGTAATTTGGTCAGTCAACCAAATTTTTGACTGTATCATACGAAACCTTAGTATACATATACTTCGAAACATCTCAGAATTAAGGAGTCAGGTATGTCCTGCTGACCTTATCTGTACTGACGTTTTCTACACTACCGTTCAAAGGTTGCGACTTGCAAGTGGCTAGCGCATTTTTTTTTTTTTTTATTCATAGAAATATAACAATTAGTATACAAATAATCAAGCTGCTCTTGAAAACTCAAATATGTGAGTTGTTGGAAGTTATGGATAAATCGTATCTTATAAAAGTTAAAATAAGTTAATATCATAGAATATTTCAGTACATGCGTTTTCAAATCTTTTGGTTTGGTTAGTTAATTATTCAATGAATAATTAATTGTATTCTTAACCTAGTTATTCTCTACGGAACCGGGACCGGCCGTGGCCACTACGTCGGTTGAGCGGATAGCGCATTAGATTATTTTTTGCGAGGCCTGGGCTTGACTTTAACCATCCGTGCATGGTATTTGGCAGTTCGGAGTTTTTCAATCAAAACACTTGATTATTTGACCGGAAGATTTGGTGAATTCAACAGACAGAATTTAATAGCAACTCTATGTTGTGTACTTGCCATTTACTAACATAGTTACTAACACAAAAAATTTGGATACCTTTTCTTACTGTGTTGTTGCTTATCTGTCAAAAACCTTTGAAAGGCATGCATTTTTAAATGTGATGACGTATACTTGTAAAAGAAAATCAACAAAAAATTGGAAAGGAAAAACATGTTCGAATTTGTGATGTCCGAAATAATTAAAAATATATTGACTTTGATATTAACTGCGACATTTAATGCCACGTACATGTAATGATTTCATATATGGACTACATTTTGCAATTTGGAACTATAAATTCTAGCTCAGTTTAAAAACAATGTATGTGCCATTAGTTTCCCAATGCATATAAGTGTTTTTTCATATGAGCCAAAATTTATAGTTCCAAATTGCAAAATGCAGTCCATATGTCTGATGCGTTTACGGACGACCGATTTTTTTGGGGAGACCTGATGAGCAGTGGTTGGAGGTCTGATGATCCACCGATGACTTGTAGGCTCGCGACTCCAAACCTCCCGAGATCCATCACAGATCATCGGTGGAATACGATGCATTTAGAAACCCGCTAATTATTCCATTCGCCAAAATTGGCAACTAGCGAATCCATGATCCAGACGGAGGATGTCTAATCGCGGCTTAGCGGGCGTTTTACCGGAAAGCAATGTTCGGATTCATCGCAAGATCGGTCGAACTGATCATCTGAATTTTGAATATCATCGTGAGCGCGGATTTTAGCCTGCGCGGGTGCGCTCGGTTGATCTCCCCCCCCCCCCCCCCGAGCCCCCTTGCCCCCTCGGACCCCTACCATCTGCCACCATCGCATTTAATGGCGCGGCGTGCTTTGCGATATATCGATTGATCGGCCATTTAAACTTATGAAAAAGGACCAAAAAACAAGGTGTTCGCAGCGAACTCCTCAATAATCGATTCTTTACTATAGCTTCCAATGGGGGAATATCGATAATCGACCATTCACGCCTCGCCACTGCGTAGCATCGATGAGGAATAAGCGGTTCTCGGCTGATGTAACTCCCAATATCCAATCGCCGCGCGCCGCAGCCGGCAGATGCTTAAAGCACCACGTCTAACGTGGGAAGCTGGGCACGGACAATGACCTTGTGAACAATTGGAAAACCGTTCAATTTTCGTCGAAATGTGCAATGTTGAGGTTCTTGATGAGAAAAGTTACGTCAGAGGATTCTTGCACCTGCTGCGTTATCTCTAAACTATAGAGGGCGCCCTTTTTCCTGTAAAAAACTCACCCTCATTATGATGCCCGCATCATGCACTCAAAGTAGAGTCCTCGAAAAGGTTCATCGATGCCATTGTTGACTGTAAGCCTCTCAAGGATCATCAGACCGACACACAGTGGGTCGAGTCAATAGGAGAGGTCGGACAAAGTTTGGAAACTTTAAACGCTTAAAACTCCGTTTATATAAATTTTTAAGGTTCTTAATGTGGTTTTATTGGTTTCCTTGTGAAATTTTCTTCAAGAAACATCCCTTAAAGTCTAAAATGTGACGATAAAAACATCAAAATTTGCAGTTTTAATCAAACATTTAAGGTCCGACTTCTCTCATTGACTCGATCCACTGTGCGACACGCCAATCTTTGAATGTAAATGGATGTATTTGGGACACATCATAGATAGGATTTTGAGATTTTCAAGGAATATAGTGCATAACTGGCTGAACACTTTGAAAGCTCTACTTTGACCGCGTGATACGGGTTTAACGCATTTTATGTCATAACA